ATTACTTGAAAGTTACAAACTGCCGAATTTCTGTGTAAAAGATCTAAAATTAAGTTCTTAAAGGAAAATGTGTCATATTGCAAATGATTATTACTAAATATTTTTTATTAAAATTATTTTAAATGTGTAATTTATGCGCGGTTGTAGTTGTTTATTTAGTTGCGGCTGTAGTACATTCGGTTATATGTTAAGTTTTGATAGTTTTGACGTTTTGTTAATTTTTTGAGAAAATTTTTAAAACATTGAAGCTCCCAAAAAAGGCCTTTTTTGTTTGTCTCAAATAAATTTGATGCGACAAATACAATATTTACATATGTTACTCAATTGTGTTGAGTACAAGCATATAGGTATATATTAAGAAATAATAACGTGGTCTACTTGAATTACTTTATTAACTGAAAACACCATATTAATGCTATTGATGCAGCATTTATTACGGATTTCTCTTGTCGAACGATACAGTGTTACCGATATTTTTGAATTTAAGACTGCTTCAATTACAAGAAAACTTATGTATATTTTCCTCCAGAAAACTAAATTCTTATTGTATTTTCATTTTGTATGTAGCTTTTGATATTCCGTTCCAAAGGGTAAATAGAGTCGCTCTTTATAATTATAATCTGTAAATATGTTTTTGCAATATATGTATGTACATATGTTATAAATATAATCTACGTACAAAAAACTGTACAAACATAGAAAATTTTCATTTGCAATATAAATATAATAGACCCCTAAATGAGCTTTTGTATATATAGTTTAGTACACATTTAAAAACATTTTTACTAAAAAACGAAAACCCCACAGCAACTTGTTGTTCTCACACTTATGCATTTTCGTTATATTTTATTATTGTGTTTCAAGCTTTAGAATTTTTTGCTTTTTAAAATTGTGTTAGTATATCGAAAACAAAAAAAAAACAGAATAACCTTGATTTTTTCTCAACCCAATTTATATATTGAGATAAAAGTGTGTATAGAAAAACTTCACTATCGCAACGTTCACGAAGTTGTCTGATACCTTAGCGATAAAGTCCAATTTAAATTTGAACACAACTACAAATAAAGCCCACGTTAAAATTATACTAATATGGATTGTATGTATAAAACAAAAAGTCTATGTACATGGTGATACACACATAAAAGCAGCTAATAATATCAAATATTTCTATATACATAGGTACATATATATTTTTACAATACATACTTATATATTATATGCTGTGCATACATATATCTAAATATTAATAAAAAAAGTTTATTCTTGGATATTTTTGGGGCAGAAAAAACAAATTATTTCTTCTAGAATTTAAATTGATGTGTACATATGTATGTATAACAAAAAGCTTTGTAATAACAGAAAAGCTTCTAAAGAAAATTATAAAATTTTAAGGTCGTAGTGGCGTAGTTTGGGACAACATTATGTTTTTTAATTTAATTATAATTTGATAGTTTTATTAAATTTAGTAGATTTTAAATATTTGAAATCTTTAAAAATCTTTGAAATATTTGAAAATCATATCAAGAATCAAGTCAGATCGTTGTAAATAATAAAATCTACGAAATAAAAGCGAATTAGAATGGGAACAGTTTTAAGGTTTCACATGTTTAAGCAGATCAAACCGACTTTTTAATAATTTAGTTTTTAAAATGTTTTTGATAAAACAAATTTCAAGAATGTTTTTTAAATTAAGTAATGAGCAAAACATGTACTATTGAATTTTTTGTGCTCTGAATGCTTCAGAAGGAACCTCAGCTTGAGCAGGATCTTTATTATGTCGTACAGTAGGGTCATTCGTAGGGCCTTGTCGTCTAATGTACTGGAATCCAAATTGATAATCGAATGCGATGTTGCCTTTGACTAGGTATGGTAAGGTGATTTTGATGTTGGTGCCGGGACACTAGGGCATAAACGAAAATGAGAAAGTTGATGGCCTCGTCCGAAGCGGAGCGGATTCTTCTTTTTCAAATTTTGAGGCGGCAAAGATAACGACCCTGCGCGGCCTGAAATATTGGGAAGAACGAGCCAGAATCGAACATTGGAGCGAGCGGGAACTGACCACATGTAGTGGTCCAGATTTAAGGCTATTGTAATTGTTCTATCTGGTGGAAAAAGACTAAACGGCAAAGTACTTATTGTGTAAATGCGAGGCGGTGACTCACCCACAACTGAGATGCTTCGGAAGGAACTTTATGACCCTGATGGAAGTCTCAAAGTTTAAGGTGGATCCTATACTATATAATTTTTCAGAGGCCTAGAAATAGCACTAATTTATATGAGAGGGATGGGAATCACGAAGGAGAAAAAAAAACAATGAGCGAAAGAAGGGCATATATTGAGTTTGTTTTGGAAAGCATTAAAAATTTAATACAAAACTATAAAATTTTCATATTCAATTAATTTTACATTAATAAATTAAATTAACCATGACAATATTTATATTTCAAAACAAATTATGGAAAATGCATTTAATTAGGAAAATTTAAAATGCAAAATGCTTATATTAAGTTACTCAACTTTATATGTTAAAAGTTGGAGATTATAAATTATTTGTGTAACAATTATAATTAATATGATTCCAATGTTTTCGAGTATTAAATTTGTAATTATTTATATTTATTTTTCTTAGTTTTTTTTTTTAAATTTTAAACCCCAGTAAAACTTTGCGCAAGAGACAATATTGACCCTAGTCTAAAGTGAATTTATTTATACTTTTTTAAATGTCACATCTCTCAATGTACTTATTGATGCGCATATCCGCCATTTACTACGATTTTCATTTATGATTCTTTGTATTTTGATTTATTACGATGCAATTAATAAAAATGATAAAATAAGAAAAAAAGTATATGAAAAAAAAAACAGATTAACTAATCGTCTAGTCAAAACATTAGTACAATACACTCTAAAAAGGTGAAGAATGTGTAAATAAAAATGAAATAAAAAAAACTTTTAGCGAAAGTTTTTTCTTGTTTAAAGCTCAACATAAAATTTCTTATCAGTATTGCTTTTATATTTTATTGCAATACATATGCCATTGTATATTTATTTGTATGTATATGTTTTGCAAAAAAATCTGTTAGGAATAAATAACATGTTGAGAGAGATATCAATTCTACGCTCTCATTTTCCTGTTAACACATTAATGACTTTTCTTTTGATTAAAGGATATTTTTTTAAAAATTTATTTAAAAATAATTTTTCATATTATTGCCAATAATATTATTGAACTTATTTTTATTCTATTACCCAAATTAATTTTTGACGGTGTAGATTTTAGGTTGTGGGGTAACAACGCACCGCGACCCAAAAGATTTATTTTGTGTCGCTCTAACGAGCGCCAAGTGTTTTTTATCTAGGACAACCCCTCGAGAACCACATTTTTGATGAACCCGAGCGATTTTTCCGAGGAAATATCCCACAACGACATGCCCAGCTTGGATTAAACTAAAGCGTCGCTTTTTCTATGAATCAACGCTTCACGTTCATCCAAAAGGTGCATCGTGGTCTCCTCCCCTTCATAATATGATATCACGAGAATAGCTTTAATAAAAACATACATATTTTTAAGAAGAAGAGTGGGGGAAAGTGTTACCACATGCTGCTAAATTATTTGAAGGAAATGCTAGTTCAAGCAGTTATAGTAGCACTTCCTCGATCAGTTTAACACGAATTAATGAGTAATATATTCCATTTTGTTTTCACACTTTTAACATCAATAAATGCACTAGAAATTATTATCTTTTACATTAAAAATTTTGTTATATCAACTATCTGGCATCGATTTTATCTTTTGAAAATATTTAATTAGTGGGATTCCGGACAAATATACAAAAACGGGATTTTAAAGTTTATAAGCCTGATTGTGTATCTCGCTTTTTACTTGTTGAGCGAGAAGAATGTGAGTAAGTGTCATATATTTTTATAATGTAGTTTTCGAATGAGAATATCATTGGAATCTCATTTTTTTCTAAAAGCATCTCGATTTTTTTCTAAAATTTGGACAAAACTTATACACTTTGTTTTTGAAAATGAGTAAAAGTTCAATTGAAAGAATAAGTAATATTATTGTAAAAATGAAATATTAATTAGAAAAACGGAGAATTCTAATTTGAAAGTGATTAAAAAGTGAGACGAAAAACAGAGATACACTATTAGGTCGTATTTTTAAAACCCCACATTTCTAATTACAAAATCACCCATTATTTCAAATTTTGATATTTTCATTCAACTGTTCTGGTTTGCTTTTCCATTTGTTTTTTTTATGCTTCTCTTGGATTTTCTTTTAAATTTTCTTCTGTTATAAATATTCTCTCTGTTTCTTCTGCCTAAATTGTGTTCTGTTTTTATATATTTTTGTGTTACTTATATTTATCCGAGTATTTATCCATGTATACATAATGTACATATGTATCATATTTTTGCACATGCATACACATAAGCTAAAAAAGTTTTATTTTAATTATTTCTTAATTTTTGATTTTTTTTTGCGTTTATTAAATGAAAAAAGCACATTTATAACAGAGAAAAATATTAAAACTGTAAAAAAACTTTTTTCGTATACATAGCAGCTTTTTTCCGTCAATATAGTCATTCGTCAATTACGCTTGAATTTATATACATACAAATATATTTACAAACATTTATTTTAGTATTATTTTAGTGTTATACATAAGTATTTTTACTGTGAATATTGTTATATTGTGTTTTAATTCTAAAAATATATGATTATATACTTTTTTATATTTGGTATATTCTTCTGATATACTTATGTGATAACGTTTATTATTATTATTATAATAATATATTTTTTATATCGTCTATATGTATATATTTTGTATGCATATACATATATGAGAATATATAGTATAAAACCAGCAGAAAAAATATATAATTTACAAAAAAAATTGTTTTTTTTTTTTCCTATCTCACCACAGTAAAGAAAAATATGTTGTGTTTTCAATGTTATATTTTTTTTGTTATTTGATTTGTATCAACTAACAGTAAGTTAAGCCAGTAGTCGGTATCCGCCTTTTAAATGAAGAAGATCGTTGCGTTGTGAAAAATATCGGTATACATATACATACTAACCGTCATATATATTATTTATTTAAATTTTACATAATATAATATATTTAATAATCAAAATTTATTATTAAAAATATAAATATGTATATATGCATATAATTGTTTTATAACATTAATTATATATGTATATACATATACATATGTGTGTACATTTTATAAATATATCTACAGATATTTAATATTATATGCATATGTATATTATATGCAATGTTTTTCTTCATATTATTATGTACATACGAATTTATAAAATATGTACATATGTATATATAAAATAATATTAAACAAATATGAAAACTAAAAAAAAAATTGAAAAATAATGAAACATACATTTGTATACCTATATACATATATATGATATGTATGTATATATAAATTCATATATATTTATATGTATATATATAAACATGTTTATTAAAATAAATTATATATAATATGTTCATAATATATAAATTATTAATGATAATAAAGTGAAACAAAAAAAAAAGAAACCAAAATTAATAATATACAAATAATTTAATATTTATGCATATACCTACACACATAAATATCTAAATATCTACCCAATTACATACATACATAATAATATAAATATGTATTTAAATATAATATGTACTCATGAATTTATTCATATTTACTGATATATTTTCAAAATGTATGTTAATTTTATATATATGTATATATGTATGTACATAGATACATCTTATATATTAAAAATTATATATATATACATGCATACATAAGTATGTACAAGTGTACAACTTATTTTTTTTTTATTTTTAATATTATTATATGGAGCCATTTTTTTTGTGTTAATTTAAAAAAATAAAAAAATTCAGCAAAAACAAAATAAAAAAAATACATAAAATTAAATAAGAAAAGAAAAAAAAATGTATAAGACATTGGCTCTTCCAATTGTACAAATAAAAGCAGAAAAAAAAAAAAACAAGAAAAATATAGCTATATAAAAAAAAGTTATTTTTATAAAAAACAAAAAAAAAGTGTAGAGAAAAAACAACATTTAAAAAATGAAATAATTTCGCTAAATTTGCAAAATATAAAACAAAAAAAAACGAAAAAAAAACGACGAAAAAACTGAAAAACAACCAAAAAAGTGAAAAATAATAAAAAAGAATTCAATTAATTTATTTTTTTTTTGTTTTTTTCTCATTGGCGGGAATATACGGGTTTGATGTACATACATACTTACATATACATATGTATATTACTATAATTATTAAGTCTACATACTTATATATAATATTTAAATATAAATTAATTGTGTACATAACATTATGGTATACGTGCTGCTTATTTTATACGCATATTTTATACATAGGGTGTTATTTTTCACTATACATACATATATATACATACATATATATAAATATATGTAAGAAAATTTTTATGTGTCGCTCTAAAAATTCATTTAAAAATAATAAAAATAAAAACAGAAAATAAAGTTAATGAAAATATTTTTTCATTTTTTGTGCACAAAAAAAATTTTATTCTTTTTCTTTCTCACTTTGTTTTTTTTTTTTTTTTGTTTTTAAAGAAGGTGATTATTAATAATAATAACAGAAAAAAATTAGTACGAATTAGAAACGAAAATCAAAAAAAACTTAATTAAAAAACATTTAAAATGTTTACAAAATATTAAATATGTGTATGTATATGCAACGTTATGCATGCATATGTACATATGCATGTATATAATTGCATAGCCCCTTAAAAAATATTGATGCTCGTGTTAATTTGTAATTTCTAAAGAAAGAATGTACTGGACTCAAAACTAACAAAAAAACAAAAATTTATTAAAAAATTGATAAATTCAAAAAAAAAGAAGAAAAGCAAAAAAAAATAATATAAAAACTTTTGAATCAAGAAGAAAAACTTTTAGCTAGGTTTTGTCACAAGCTCTCTCTCCCTGCCTCTTTCTCTTTCATTTTCTCCGCAACTTTATTTAATCAAGTACATATTTTAAACTGTTTTTTTTTTTTTAACGCGTAGTCATATTTGCCTTTCATTAATAATTATTTTATCCAAAAAAAAAACTTAAAATAATAATGAAAAAAATTAATCAATTTTAAATTATTATCAAGATATTATAATAATAATAATAACAATAATAATAATAATACTAAAAAAAAACAAAAATTTTATTATAGAAAAACAGAGAAAAAGTAGAAACAAAAATTTGAAAATGAAAAAAAATAAACATCGAAACCTTATCAACATCGTGTTTGAATATATTAAAAAAATATATACACATACTTATTATATATATACATACTTACAAATGTTCAAACGTTTATGTACGTACATGTGTACATACTAAATACCTATCTTATTTATACATATGGCCAATATGTATATTATAAAAATTTCTAGATACTTGCTTATATTTATGTATAACAGTATACATTTATAAATTTACAAATATATAATTTAATTCATACTTATACATAAATATATTTTCATAAATATTATGTACTTACATTTACACATGTGTATTATATATGTAGGTACACATACATAAGTTGAATATTTATTTTTAATTTTATTATAAAGCACAAATTAAAAATCAATTAAAACAGGATTTTTTTTTTATATATCTACCTATCTACATAACTATAATTAGGTATTCATAAAAATTTTTTATTATACCTAGTTAGAATGTATATGTATGTATATATGATTATAATATATTTAATATTAATTCAAATGATGCACGTATACCGCTGCTTTAATGGCAATAACTCCTGTATATTGTGCAAAATCTTCACAAAATCATTTTTTGGTTATTTGATTGGTTGACGTGGCCCGGTTCTCTATCTAAATTCCGATGCCAATCTTTGGTGCCTCGTCTAGCCGCGTCACACACTTGCCCTGCCCCACGTGACCAATCTGGAAATGTAAATATATTAAGAAAAAACAAGTTAGGTCAACTATTTCAATATTTATAGTTTTATTAAAAATCACTAAGTAATATTATTATAAGTAAATAAATAGTTTTTTGTTTATTTTGAAAAATCACGCTTTTGCAGATAGGAGTTATTGCAATTAAACCAGCAATATATACATATACGATACATACACATATACGCAAGTGATTTGTGTGCGTAAAGTCAAAGTTATAAATTAAATGAAAATATTTAAATGTTCTTTTTTATTTATTTATTTTTTTTTTGTTAATTTTCCTTGAAAATATACTTCTTATAATTTTTCTCTTTAATCAAATTTTTATTCTAATAAGAATAAGTAATGTAGGTACCTAACTTTATTTTTATGTACACGTCCATACATAATACATATATAAGTATGTATATCAATATAATTATAATTATAATTAATTATTATACGGTAATACCTACATATATAGCGATTTACACAACGCACGTACTTAAATGTATGTAAATAAATGTCTATAAGTATGTATATGTATTATATAATACATGTTATATCATGTGTAATAATTCTACGTATACATAGGTACTTATAAATAATTTTTATTATGTATACTATCAGTATAAATGTTATTATTATATTGTTTTAATAAATATTTTATGATAAATTAATTTTATATTATCACATTAACTTTTACATTTAATATTTCATTATTTATTTATTTGTTTATTAAAAAAATTATTTCTGTTTTAAATGCCTACATATTATTTATTGATTTTTCTAGTATATACATAATTATATAATGAAAATTGTCAGGAGGGGGGGGACAAAACTGGAAATTGTATGCCATAAAATATATATTTGAAATATAGTAGAACCGGTATACCAAATTTTAATTATATATCAAAAATATTAACAATAAATTAATAAAAATATATTAACTAAGTAATAAAAAATACTTAATGTTCTTCTCCCAGATGCGTTTTTCTATTTGCTTATATGCACATATGAATTTACATGCACACATGCTCCATTGAGTATTTTTTATAGTTGTATAGTAAAATTTAGTATGCCTAAGGTCAAATTCCTACCAGTAAAACTAATTTTAAATTTTCATTATGACCTTCATATGTGCAAGATCGTATGAAAAGGAAGCATAATTCTTCGAAATTGAACCAGGGAATATTAATGTAATGGTAAATTTCTTGTCTGAAGAACAAAAATTAACCCGTAAAGACAAAATAGAATGCAAGTCCGAGATAAGTCCAATTTATAATTTAATACCGTCTGCTCGTTTCTAATTAACACTCATTTAATATACCTTATATAAAGCTACTACTTTTGTATAAGTGCAATGTCAAATTGTTGATAATTCGAAAACTTTGGTTTTTTTTATCATTCGCAGTGGAGATGTTCTTCTCTACATGCAGTACGCTCTTAGAGTTTTTCTTGTTCTTGAAGTCAAAAACCCTTATTTTCAATCCCAATATTTTCAATGTAATGCAATATTACCGCATTCCTAAACTCGTAGTACAAAAAAACAATGGTGTCTTAGTTCCACTTTTAAAAATTTATATGTTTTTCATTTATGAAGAAGACTAATGATGATGAAACAAAATGTATGAAAATTGCCTATCAAAGTATGCGCATACAAAGAAACGAAATTTCTAACTATTATCAATATTTATTAAAAAACATGCAAATTTTTTTTTTCATTGCTAAAGTATCAATCATATAAAGGTACAAATAGAAAGCTACTCCACTTCGGTAATTAAGTTTACATTAATAATAAGAATGTTATTTCCTAACCGGTAATTTTAAAATAATCAGACCTTGATTGTTTATCAAAAAATTTAAAATGCTTGTAATTTAAATTTAAATATGTAGGTATCTAGAAATTATATCCTGTTTTGGTTATTTCTGTTAAAATATTATTTTGTGAGTACATTTATTAATTGTGAATAATTAGTATTTTTCAGTAAAACAAAGTTTAACTTAATTTAATTTTTTGAAAATGAATTCATTATTTTTGTGTGATACATATTTACAGTTAAATTGTGTCTCTTATACTTGTAATCG